TATTTATATAAAGCATGGCTAATGTATAACCCAAATGAAATACAAAAAGAATTTGGAGATTAAATTCTAATTTATAAATCTAATCCCTTTCACTTTTTTATTTTATTACTTAAAAATATCTTTTTTGAAATAATTAATTTAATAAAATTTAAAAATTATTAATATGTAAAAAAATATAACTTTTAAAATCTAATGCCGGTGCCAAAATTCAAGACAAGAAAAGAGAATCCAATGTTGTTACTTTTTTTTTTTAATATACATATGTACATACATACATACATACATATATATTTTAATTTTAGATGTTTGGATTTTTTTTTATAATAAATTAAATGTATTTATTTATTTCTCTCCAATGTTAAATTTTAAATTATTATGTGCTTTTGTTTTTTTTTAAATAATTAATAAGTAATTGAGGAATTCATGATTTTTTTAAAAATTAATGTGTATATATGTATATACATATAACTTTTTTTTTAAAATTTTTTAAAACATAGATTATGATTCTAAGAGTACGGACACAACCCTACTAATTAATACCATAAAGTTTTTCACTGTATCCCTCATTGTGGAGACAAATTACATGTGTATATATAATATGTATGTATATGTGTATATATATATATATATATAACTTTTGTTTTTTCTTTCGATAACAAAAGTGCTATTATTGATTTTTTTTATAAAATCTACTGTGTCACCTCAATTAAAATTTAATCAGTTAAAAGACGTATTTTTTTTATTTAAATACTATATTTTTTGATAGATAATATTTAATTTAATTATTAAATTTTTTTAAATATATTTATTAATTAAACTTTAAATTTTATTAAACTAAATATTATATTTCACTTCATTACATATTAATAAAATAGTAATTTTATATTTATAATAAATATGAAACTGTAATATTTAAATAAAACATAAAATTTTAAATATTTAAAATACTAACATGATGCATAACTTTTTTTTTTTTATTAAAAAGATTTCTTTACTTAGATCGAACATTATTAAAGTAAACACGTAAAAGTTCAGAAATATCTTAACTACGAATAAAAAAAACTGTTCCGAACTTGATTTAATTTTTTATGATTATAAATTTTTTGTTATCGTATGGGCCGTTACCTAAGCCGGTTGAAAAGCAAACATGATGGCTGATAACACTGTATAAAAAGCTCATTCCCGATTTATATTTCATGTACGAAAGATGCTAAACTCCTGATATTACTTGTAACATTAATTTAAGTGTTAATTATATTATAATTTTTTTTTTAGAAAAAAATTGTGGGTAATATTATATATATATATATATATATATTTTTTTTTTTGCTAAAGAAATGTTTGGATGGTCTTATAGATTCTCTTTTGGCTAAAAAAATTTTAAATCTTGACTTTAAATTTCCTTCATTCTTTTTAGGGGAAAAGTATCTCCTCTCTTTTATTATTTTTATTTAGTGGATTTTGAACTATATCATCATCATTCAAACAAGACAAATTAATTAGTAATCATGATTACTTTGTTAAATCCATAAAAAGATTTGTCAAAACAAATGCATTTCTTCTTTAATTTTCATTAATTTATAGTAATGGGTTTAATTCTCCACCGTTTAAAATTTCTAATTATCAATTATGTATTTGTGATAATTGACATCCATATCAATCTCTATTATAATGCTCATTGATGTTATGGTGTGAATATTTTTCTCACAATTATAAAAGTATATATATATATATATAAAACATATGTTCTTATTTTCATTATTTAAATTTAATTTTCGTAAACTAATTTATAAAATAAAATTTTAAACGCACGCGATACAATATATAGAAAATATTTTAGAATAATTTAAAAAAAATAGTAAAAAATTGATTTAAAAAACATAAGTATGTTTTAGTTCATACTAAAAACTGAATCAGACTGATAAATTTGATCTGCTTTTTTAATTTAAAAGTTAAAATAATAAGTACATAAATAATATGGATATATTCTTTAATATTTAAAATTAAAATATTAATATATAAATAATATTTTTAAAACATTAAATTTTTAGAGTAATTTCTCAATCTTTTTAATCCTAAAATCTAAGAATTGAATTGAAGATTTTCAATGCGGTCTAGTCCAAATTAAAATTATACCAATCTTGTTTTTAGTCGAAAAAAATTTATATTCGATTTTAATATGATCTGGTTAAATTCCGGACCCAAGCTTAACCTTAATCTTAAAAATAAAATACAAATGTTTTGAAGAAAAAATTTCAAACCATGTCATGATACTTACATAAAAAAAACATCACTTGCAAATCCTTGTCACTTGTTTGGTTGCTAGCTACTTTGTGCCATTTCCCTATTTAACTTTCTTCTCAATATGTCATGAATTTCCCTAGTAAACCAAACAATGTCACCTCTCTATAATTGTATATATATATATTCATCCCTACCTTATACCCATCAAAAAGTTAAAAGAATAATGCAAAAAACATGATGGGCAAAATTGTAATTTCAATTATAACACTTTTTCTTTTTTTTGCTCTTCTCTGTTTGGGTCAATATAAAATGACAAAACTAATTAACACCACCTTTTTCAAAAGGAGAAATCTTTCTGCAACTTGTATGAAAAAAAGAAAGAAAGAGCACCCATTAATTTCTTTATTCTTTGTTTGGATGATCGCTATATATAATCTGGTTTCATCTCTATGCCTTGTATCATGTCATGTATACTTACACTTTCGGTCATCTTGTTTGTATATTTTCTGCAAAATATTCTGATTCCTATATATATATATATAGCTTTAGTGAATATCACAGTACTCATCTTGAATACTCATTGTAGCGCCCGGGAAATTAAAAAAAAAAAAGGGGGGGGGGGAGGGGGGGCCACGTCAGCATCCACGTCAGCAGACTCAATCAGCAGTTCCGGCCAACCGGGACCTGCCCGTGGCAAGACCACGTCCATCCGGGTATGCGCGATCGGAC